ACACACACCCGCCACTGATGGGATTATCTGCCACCAAATCCAGTACAGACAGAGGGGACAGCGACAACCAGCAAGGAAACACACACATGCTTTCATATATACTCCACAGCTACACTCAAAACCACATACAGGCCTGCATAGTACACACACACACACACACACACACACACGTGTGCCTTCATATATACTACACACACAACTGCACACACAACCACATAAAGGCCTGCATATTACACTCACATACACACCTTCATATATACTACACAGCTACACACACAGGCCTGCGTATAACAAACAGACACACACACACAGAGCCCACATATATACCACACAGCTGCACACATGGCCGCCTATATATACACACAGATACACACACACGCACCTGCATATGTACTACACAACTACACACATGCACACACACAGGCCCACATCTATACTACACACACAGACCTATCTATATACCACACACACACCCCTGCATATGTATCGTCATCTCCCTGTTACACATGGTGAAACTGAGGCACAGAGTGGGGGAGGGACTGTCCCAGGTCACAGAGCTAGCGTGTACCTAGATTTGTGAGCCAATAGGCAACACACGTGCCAGGGGGAGCACACCCCAAACACACTAGCAGTCACACCCCTGCACACCTATCCTCCCCACCTCCCAGAGCAGACCCAAGCCCACGGCACCCGAGAGGCCTGGGACGGAGGGAGCAGGTGATGGGAAGTTTTGGCTCAGACAGGCCAGAACACCAGGCCCTGAGCTGTCACTGGGGTGTCACCGAGCCCCCACATTCCCTGAAAGAGAGCCCAGCCCCCACCCCAAGGAGAATCCAGCCGGCTGTTGGCCCCTCCCCTGGGTTTATCCAGAGGCCCCTGCAGCCGGGGAAGGCAGAAGAGGCCGGCGCCAGGGCCAAACTTGGTCCAGCTCTATTAAGCCACTGAGCACATTTGAGCTGACAGCTGCTTATTAAATTCTTCCAGTTCCCTGCCCAAGGCATCCCCACACAAATTCCCTGCTGGCCTTCTCGTGGAACGCTCCCCGGCTGGGGGCAGACCGGGGTCGGGAGGAGGAGCAGAGAAGGGTAGGCACATGGAAATTTATAATGAGGTGCAGCAGCACATGTTTCTCAGGCACCCGAGGAGGGGTTATAAACAGGGGGTGCCATGCATATGCCCCATGTACCCAGGGGTGGTATAAAGAGGGGGTGCAGTGCAGCAGCCCCACATACCCCAGGGTGGTATAAAGAAGGGGTGCAGTGCTCATATACCTGAAGGGTGGTATAAAGAGGAGGTACAATGCATAAACCCCTGTGACAGCCTGCACCCCATGTTCACCCCTTTCATAGGACTATGATAAATGTTGTACAAAGCATTTGAAAACTCATAATCCGCTGAACATTATTGTTCTGGTAAAATGTGCGTATCAACACTGCAGGCAAAGTTATAAGATTCAACTGTATAACATTACTCTGACGTGCTCCAAGTTAAAGAAAAGCAGACCCAGACCAGTTTTTCAGAGACAAAGGCACATTGGCCCCCCGCTATTACCTACTCAAGCAGCCATTCTCCGGCGGGGGGGGCGGGGGGGGGGGGAAGAGGTAAACAAGAAATTCACATTCAATCATAGGGACGGTTCAAACGTCACGTCCACAACAGACTGCATGTCACCGTGACTCAGCCAGGATGTTTCTAGCACATGAAATTGAATTATAGAAAAGGGAGGAAAACACCTGACTTCACTCTTCTTCTTACCATCTCTCTGCTGATGCCATCAAGGACTAGGCTAGGCAGAGTCCCACCAGCGCCTACTGCTGTAAGCGTTGGGTGAGAAAAACCCTTTTGCTTTTAAGCTCATTTCACTTGCTAAGCTGAGACGTTAGATGGCATTGTTCCCTTTTTATTTTGCTTTGTAACCGATTCTGACTTTTAAGCCTCATGACTTGCAATCACTTAAAATCTTTCTTTCTACAGCTAATCGATTCGTTTCACTGTTTTATCGAAACCAGCGTCTTTGGGGGACGATAACAAGAAGTGGGCATATCGCTTTCCTTTGACGAAACGACGGACTTTGTGTGAGTTTGTTCTGCACAGCGAGCGGACCGGGCAGTGGAGAACGCACATTTCTCGGGGCAAGTCTGGGGCTGGGAAGCTGCTGGTGTTCTGCAGTGTAATGCATGAGTGGCTGGCTAATAGCACTCTGTACTGGTTAGCAGGGAGCGCGTCACACGCTGGAGGCTGTGTGGTCACGGGCCAGGAGTGGCTGCTCACCAAGCAGTTCGGAGAACCACTATTCGGCAGCCCAGATCGCACCCTGGGGAACGTCACACCCCCGTATACCCGAGCGGGGGCCCTACCTGCCGGGGCAGGGGAGGCTCCTGGTAACTGGGTAGGATCTTGAGAACCACGCTGCCGGTGGCGTTCTTCAGCATCTCCTGCAGCACCTTGGGGTCGTTGCCCACCTCCTTGCCGTTCACCTCCTTGATGACGTCGCCCACATGCAGCAGGCCCTGCTGGTCGATCATGCCGCCGTGCAGGATGCGGGCGACCACCAGCTCGCCCCGCTCCACCCGGAAGGTCACGCCCTGCGGGCGGAAGGGGGGCACGCACCTCAGAGCCTGGCCCTGCGATGGCCAGGCCCCCGGGGAATCATGGGGAGCCCTGGAGCCTCAGCTGGGCCCATCGCTGCACCCCATTGCCCCATGGCCTCCCCGCGACACCCAGCCCAGCCCCCCAGCCAGCTGTGTCCGACGGGAGGGTGTGAAAGAGGGCGAGGGGAAGAGGGGAGTGAGGAAGAGGGAGGGGAGGAGGAGAAAACAGAAGAAGAGAGAGGGAGGGGAAGAGAGGGCTGAGCTAGACGGGGAGGGAGGGGGAGTGGGGTTGATGAGTGGAGGATAAGCCCATTCATCTGTTACCCCATAGCTAGACAAGGCTGGGGGCAGAAGGGGGCTGGCCCCCCAGGCCCTGGGGTAGGCAACGACTCTGTGTGACGGTGGAGACTCTGGGAAGGGACCTTCCATCCCCACACACCCCTATCCTCACATCTCCTCCCCTCAGACTTAGCCCCCCCACACACCTCCTCCCCTCACACTCACACACCCCATCCCCACACACCCCTATCCTCACACCTCCTCCCCTCACACTCACACACTCACACACCCATCCCCCCACACCCTCCCCACACATCTCCTCCCCTCACATTCACACACCCCATCCCCACACACCCCTATCCTCATACCTCCTCCCCTCACACTCACACACCCACACACCCATCCCCACACACCCCTATCCTCACATCTCCTCCCCTCAGACTCAGCCCCCCCACACACTCCTCCCTCCACACTCACACATCCCATCCCCACACACCCCTATCCTCACACCTCCTCCCCTCACACTCACACACTCACACACCCATCCCCCACACCCTCCCCACACATCTCCTCCCCTCACATTCACACACCCCATCCCCACACACCCCTATCCTCATACCTCCTCCCCTCACACTCCCATCCCCACACACCCCTATCCTCACATCTCCTCCCCTCACACTCACACACCCTCACACCCCATCCCCACACACCCCATGCTCCCACATATCCCATTCCCCCACCTGCACATCTCCTCCCCTCACACACACAGCCCCCCAACACCTCTGTCCCCACACAATCCCTCTCCCCATACACACCCCCATCCTCGCACACCTCCTCCCCAACACTCCCATCTCTACACCCCCCCCGTTTCCCATACACAAACACACTCCTTCTTCCACACACACACCCATCCCCGCAGCCTCCTCCCCCACACACACCCTCCCCTTCCCCTCCTTGCGGCGATGCTGAGCTCCGGCGCCTCGCCAAGTGTGGGACAGACCGATTAATAGAGCGGCACTGATGCCCTGCTGGGGGGGGGAGGGAGGCCTGGATGGCAGCCGGCGCTGTGGGGGAAGGGGCTGCGGCTTGACCCCGGAGGGGCCTTCCCAGCCTGCTGTGCAGACAGAGCTGGGGGGAAGCGGGCCAGGCCTGCACTGAGCAGCCTGTGTTACTAGAGAGCCGGTAATGCTCAGAACCATCCTTCCCGTGGGACGTCCACGCCCCTGCCAGGCTCCCCGTGGGCACCCGGCTGGCTGACAGGAGCCCCCACCCCAGCCACACCCCCCCCCAGGCTCACCAGGTGCTCTGCGGCCGTCTTGCGGATCCCCACCATGCGCACGGCATCCGGCGGCACCGGCTGGTTGTTGAACATGGGGTCCAGGAGGGGGCTGGGTGGGGGCGTCTCGTAGCTCTTGGAGGCCACCGAGTCGTGGGTTTCCAGGAGAGACTGAGACCCCAGCGTGAGAGGGGAAAAGGGAGGGATGTTAGCAGGGGAGGAGGGGCTCTGTCCACTGCACGCAGAGCGCAGACAGGAAACAGACTGGATCTCCCCCGGATCCCAGCCCACGCGGCATGGACCAGATCCCAGCCTGTGTGGCACAGACCAGATCCCAGCCAGCTCCAAGCCTGCATGGCACAGACCAGATCCCAGCCTGCATGGCACAGACGAGATCCCAGCCAGATCCCAGCCTGTGTGGCACAGACCAGATCCCAGCCGGATCCAAGCCTGTGTGGCACAGACCAGATCCCAGCCAGATCCCAGCCTGTGTGGCACAGACCAGATCCCAGCCAGATCCAAGCCTGTGTGGCAGAGACCAGATCCCAGCCAGATCCCAGCCTGCATGTACAGACCAGATCCCAGCCGGATCCAAGCCTGTGTGGCTCAGACCAGATCCCAGCCAATACAGCACACGAGCCTAGATCATGACCAGATCCCAGGCCGCATGGCACAGGCCAGATCCGTACCAGATCTCAGCCAAACTCTAGCTAATGAGGCCAAAACCAGCTCCCTGCCAGATCCCAGATCCACCCTGTGGCTGCTTTGCTCCCACTGTCTGTGCTGTTCGCACCCCACCTTCTCTGTGTATCCAACTGCGACCTAGTGTCTAAAGCCCAGACCGGGAGCTCCCAAGGGCAGGGGCGGGGGCTGGTTCTGGGGAGCTAATTGGCCCCTGATCCCAGGAGCAGGTCCCGTCACGCTACCACCTTCCAGAGGATAAAGCATTGAAAGCAACATCGTCTGGACTATGGCATGACCCAAATCCCAGCTAGAGCCCTCCCACCCCGTACACAGCCAGAGGGGCGTGACCCTGACCAGCCTCCCGCCCCCCAGATCCCAGCCGGACCCCCGCCACACACACGCAGCCAGAGGGGCGTGACCCTGGCCAGCATCCCCTCCGCCCTGCAGATCCCAGCTGGACCCCCTGCCACACACACGCAGCCAGAGGGGTGTGACCCTGGCCAGCATCCCCTCCGCCCTGCAGATCCCAGCCGGACCCCCTGCCACACACGCGCAGCCAGAGGGGTGTTACCCTGGCCAACCCTCCCCACCCCCCAGGTCCCAGCCAGACCCCCTGCCCCACACACGCAGCCAGAGGGGAATGCTCAGCCCCCCCCAGCGCCCCGCGGCGGCACCTGGAAGTGAGGCTCCTGCAGGATGCCTGCCAGCTCAGCGGCCGCACTGTTGCTCCCGGCGACGTGGGCGATGTCCTGCAGGATCTCCTGCACCAGCTCCACGTTATTGTCCCTCACGGCCTCCAGCTTGGTCTCCTCCAGGCGCTCGTGAGCCTGCAGCGGGGGATGAGAGAGCACAAACAAACCCCCATTAACCTCGTCCGCCTGGAGCCCCCGGCTGGCGAGCCCCAGACGCCGAGCCCTGCGCGGAAAGGAAGAGACGGGGGGGTTTGTGAGGCCGAACCAGGCCCCCCGCCCCGCCCTGTGACACAGATGTCCGATCACATGGTGCTTAATACCCCAGCATCTGCTCCCAGGCAACAACAGGATGGCAGGGGGCAAGGGGCCCGTCCAGCTGCGCGGTAGGTGCCCGTCTGCGAGGCCAGCCCCACCCAGCCCAGCAAAATGCAAAGGGGGGGGCGGGAATCCGCAGAGACTCGCCACGCGGCCACACCAGCTGTCACAGCAGCTGATCAGGTCTCCTGGTATCTTGCATGCACCCCCCCCCCCGTATTCCTTGTTCGCCCTATAGTGCTGGGTATGCACACACACACACACACACACACACACACACACACTACACACACAC